TGCCTCTGCTTCCCGAGTGCTGGGATTAAAGGCGTGTGCCACCACCACCAGGCCTTAAATAAGTAACTTAAAAGAAAAAGCAAAGAACCTGGTTGCTGTGGATGGTAGTACATATTTTTAACCCCAACACTCAGGAGGCAGAAGAGTTCAAGGATACCCTACTGTAGATAGCAATTTCCAGACCAGCCTGGATTGCACAGTGAGACTTTGTCTCTGAAAAAAAAAAAAAAAAACAGACCACTGGTTTACAACAATACACAATTTATAATACTATCAAGAAAGTCTAGAAAAGGAAAAGGAAACTGATTAAGCAAGCACATGACAATAACTACTAAGAGATTCATTTTATGGGAAGGTCTATGTATGATAATTTTAAGTAGAAAATACAATTCAAAATGATAAATGCACTAAAACAATTCAATTTTAAAAGATTGTTGATTTATAGTCGCACCTTATTTTAAGTAGTAAAACACAACCACTTTATTTTTAAGTAGTAAAACACAACCACTTTATTTTTCTTTATATTGGTCATATTCAAGATAAAATAAAATGAGCTCCCCGTTTTAAGGGGGAGTGACCTCCTAGTTCTTTCTGAGCCAAGTCCTTTAACAGTCTTGTTGCATTGTTCTCTATAGACCAGAACATCCCTATTCAAACATTGGGAGAAAATAAAAAATGATTTTAAAATTTGTGGATCAATAAGAACTCCTTGCTTTGCACACAGCTCCAAGGGGGGGGGGAGCCCCCACAACACTAGAGGATGATGGGAGTTAAAGGATGTTTAAATACTGTGGCAAGATTACTCTGGGCAGCTGCTGAGCTGATACCTGGCAACATGAAGGCTCTCCTCACCCTGGGGTTCCTCTTGCTTTCTGTCACTGTCCAGGCCAAGGTCTATGACCGATGTGAGTTCGCCAGAACTCTGAAAAGTCATGGAATGGATGGCTTCTTGGGAATCAGCCTGGCAAACTGTAAGTCTCCTCTTCTTGACCCCTCCAGATAAGCACCCCCTGCAGAACAGGTACAAGGAGCAATGAGTGAGCAGAGAGGGAGCTGGAATCAATAGGCATCTAGGATTCTTATTTGTTTGACTTGGTTTGATTAAAACATGAGTGTTTGTCTTCTTCCTCAGAGATACTGGGATGAGGGCAGGGGAGGGAGCATCTGTGTCAGGCTCAGGCAACAGGACCTGAGGTGCTCTTGGAGTGTCAATGGGTTTTCCAGTTGCTACAGACTCAATAGTCTACAGGGGTCTATAGACTAAAGAGGGGAGGACCACTCATTCAGAACTTAAGTTCTGAGAGCCTGAAGTGACTGGTATCTGTCTTCTTTTCTCTTACCGTGGCATGGACCTTAAAGAGAAAAATTTGAAATTTTTGAACTTCCTATATAGGGTTGTGGGGTCCTATTACCTCTGCTTTCAGCTCAGTTGAGGTCTACTGAATCTGAATGTAAACGATTTGGTGCATGGATAGATGGATGTATGGATGTTCAAATTTATTGCCCTCAGAGATTCTCTTTGGGGTACTTGAAAATTTTCACTTGCTTATACATACAGCAGTTCTACCTACTTGAAAGGCAGAGGCAGGAGGATTACTTGAGACCAAGGACTACCCTGAGTAACACAGCCAGACCTGGTCTGAGCTAGTGGTAGCTTACTTTATAATTTGATCATATGTTTGTATTTATAAAGTAAATCACTTGTAAAATACTGAAAGACCAAATAGTTAATTTTGATATCCAGTATACATCATTTTGTGTTGCTGCTTATTGATGAATATTCTTTTTATTTTCAGGGGTGTGTTTGGCTCAGCATGAGAGTAGCTTTAACACAAAAGCTACAAACTACAACCCTGGATCCAGAAGCACAGACTATGGGATATTTCAGATCAATAGCAAATACTGGTGTAATGATGGCAAAACCCCAGGAGCAGTGAATGCCTGTGGGATATCATGCAGCGGTAAGACAAGGCGGGTTTAGAGGGACAGCAAACAACCCACCTGCTCTTATGTGCAAGAGCAGAGATTCTGTGCAGGAGACATAACACTGAAGGAAGCATCAGGACCCTGGGAGACTGTCTTGACTGTTAGAAAGTCATTGTTAATCACATCAAAATTAGCCAAGGAAGATGTTAGGCTTAGGACATAGTCTA